TGTGGGCTTTTCTACTTTCTGTAAAGCACATTTATCAATACAGACAATCACAAATAGGAAATAGCGAAATGCTGCTTCCGCATCAAACTCTCTTTATCTAGCACAGCTTAAGTCTAAATAGCAAACTCTATACATACAAGTTCACTCTGTACCAGACTGCTTTATGACGCTTAAGAGTATAACATATGTGGAAAATCGCTTATTGATGATCTGCCGGTTAGATAAAAGTTGCCATATTTAGTGTTAGTTCGACCTTGTTTTCGCAACTTGGTCGGAGCGTCAGTAAGACCTTGTGGAACGTACATAGTTCGTGTTCTCTGCCAAAGTATTCGTGATTTCCAGCATTTGACCATTGGCTGGGTACATTCCCAAATGTTTTGCCCGCATCGTCAGTAAGAGGCTCCATCGTAAGCACATAGTTACAACCTATGAAAGTGACAATTTAAGGCAATCCCTTTGACTAATTTTCTGTTCATCCGTTCTGGTATCACTCCTCGCCCCTTTTTTTGTTCTACCTTCAAGTGCCGCATCTATTTTTCTCAACCACACCTCATATGGCCCATCCACTTATTCACACAATTTTCTGCTCTTGTTTCCTCCAATGACGCCTGAGAGTGTGTCGCTACAAATTGGTTTAGTGAAGAGTAATCATCCCCACCACCAGTACCAGGTACCGCTTGCAGAGCTGCTTACCGACATTCTGCCCCCCCTTTTTTTTCCTACCCGCTTGCCAAATGGCCACTGCTAAAGAGCAAAATCACTGTTTGGCTGTCTGAAATCTGGCTGCATAAGAACTTTCCATTCCCGTCCTCGATTACGCCATATTCGAGGAATTAGAGCAGATAATGCACTTGTCCATGCCCATGCACATGTCAGTACCTGGGAATCCTCTTCTCCTTAGGCTTCAAACTCGTGACTCAATTATCCTCTCCCTCATCCTCACCCTTCTTTATTAAGTTATATATGATCGAGTCTATTACAACTTTATACTAATAGCATTATTGATTATTTATGTATTGCCCATAAATATCGGGCAATTTAGAAAGTGGATTTATTCACCGTAGTCTCATTTCTCTCAAAAATATCATCCATCCTCATTTTATCAGCCGCAACACGCTTAACATTTTTTGCTCCTCTTAACTTGTTTAGTTTGTGACTAGCTGCTCGAAGCCGCCTCTTTTGGGTTTCGCCCATCTTGAACCACCATTCTGCATTCGGTGTGTACAATATACCAATGAAGACCAGGTACGCCCTCTTTTCTCCAAACTTTTTCCCTGGTTCATGATGGTACATATTTAGAATTTTAGGTTATAAGCGATTTGCTACTGTGTTCTTCGCGTATATGCTTCGCTTTATTAGGCACGTAGTTTTTTATATTGTTTTGGTTATTGAATATCTCCATTTTTGTTTGGTTACTTTCGAAATTATTAGTCGTAATGGGGTCTAAGGAAAGACCAATGGATAAAGAGGGCCATTCTTTGCTTAAATATAACTAATTCTTATTCTCTGCTTTTATTTTTTCATTCGCTTCTATAGGATGTAGGAGACACATTGGGCTCAGTTCTTAAGGGATTCTTCGGGTTTGGAGGTCGTAAAGAAGAGATAGCTCGACTACCTACCGCTTCCACTTGCTTCAATCTTCTCAAACTGCCAAATTACAATTCGCGTTCTGTTCTCCGAGACAAATTGCGCTATGCAATTCGTAGCAATGCTGGTTTCGAGCTCTCTTAATAGGCTTTTAGTTGTATCCCACAATATTGAGTTGCTAACTCCTCCCACTAAGTTTAGCTATTCCTATCAGATTCACTTCTTTAAGCATGCTTCATGGCATTTTTGTTCCTATTCCAGATGTTCCCCTCATGAGTTGCCTAAGCATTGCTTATTGTTACAAACTCTTATTTTTGGGCTATTACATTAGGAATTTCTTGTAAAATCGTTAAACGCTGCACCTATCAAATTTTACTTTACTCGTCAAGTGGAATCCTTATTTTCTTTGTACACTGTTTGTATCCATCATTACACAGCCCTATTATATTTTCTTATTTTCCTTTC